AAAGGAATGACTTCACCTAGAGTGTAAGTCTTTGGTAGATGAATACTAAAAGTTTTTGTTCTGCTTAAGTAACTAATATAGTAGCAGACAAGTAGAAGAAATAATAAGAGCTTTTTATTGATTTGGAAGCCACTTTAATCTTTCTATTGAAGTGATTACTGAGGTGGTTCTTAATTTCTCTGAAATAAAGTAAATAATTACTTAATATTATTCAGGCAAATAAAATTAAACAGAATGAAGATTTATGGTTAAATCAACCATTTCTCCATTTTTGTTCAAACCACCATTTTAAAATTTTGATTGAACAAGAAAAAAAAAATCACAAAATTTCTTGATGACAGCATCCTGAAATGCTCCACTTTTTAATGTTTAGGTTTTAAGTGATAGAAGTTTTTAGAAAATGGCCTAAGTAGAAAATTACATTGCATTTAACCTTATAGGTACAATTAAGGTACAGTTTCAAAATGCTATGAAGCTAATGTATGAAACACGTCATACATATTTCTGAAAAATTTAAATTTCTGAAGAAAATGATGGGGGATGGACATGTGGAGATGCTTGAAGCTCAGACTCAGGGGAGGCAAAGGCAATATATGTAACCTAAACATTTGTAGCCCCATAATATGCTGAAATGAAAAAAAAATTTTAAAAGCAGTGACATAAAAATGTCTAATACAAAAAAAGAAAAAAAGAGAAAATCCTGAGAATTACTGATTTTGAAGTTATCTGAAAAAGGGAAAGCGTTGAATGTAAAATTCTCTATTTTGAAGTAATGCACTTGCCTTTTTGTATGTCCAGAAAATTTTATCGCTGAATTGTTTTAATTCCAATGCTTACTAATAACCAGCCAACAGCAGTATTAATCGGTTTGTCTATGTTAACTTTTACACTTAATACTATGTAGTTATTACAAATTATGAATCTTTTTTATTTTTTTTTAAGAGACAGGGTCTTGTTCTGTTGCCCAGGCTTGAGTACAGTGGTGTGATCATTGCTTAACTCTGGGCTCAAGCAATCCTCCCACCTCAGCCTCCTGAGTAGCTAGGACTACAGATGTGTGCCACCACACCTAGCTAACTTTTTCCCCATATATATATACACACACATATAATTCATATATATAACGTATCATACAAATATACATATACATAAATATAAATATACATAAATATAAATATATATATATAGAGAGAGAGAGAGAGAGAGACAGAGACAGAGACAGAGAGAGAGACAGACACACACGCAAGGTCTCACTATGTTGCCCCAAAGTTCTGCCCTAAAATAATCCTCTCTCCTTGGCCTGCTAAAATGCTGGGATTACAGGTGTGAGCCACCTTGCCAGGCCCACAAATTGAGAATCATGAAAGGAGGTGTTAAGACAGGTAGAAGATTGTAGAAACACAGACTCATGAATCAAAGAATATTAAATTATTATCTTGAGAATCTCTTAATAAAATTTGTAAATACTCAACAACTGCCTAAGGAGTAACAATAAATCTTTCCCAGCTGCCACCCTGCAGTGTCAACAGGTTAAATTACCAGATAAGTCAGGAAAGATGAAATTTATAAACTAAAATTCTTCAAGTAGCGCTCTGGTTTACACTAAATATCAATACCATCAGAGTACTATAATTATCAGTCACCAAACTGTAAGGGATAATCATTTTATTATTAAGGTATAATTATAATTAAGAGAAATCTGAAATATGCCTTAAAGTATATTATTTTAAAAATGAAAATTTCAAGGATACTTTTCAGATGTGTACATTTATAGATATATATATATTTATATACCTCATACATTACTATCTGTAACAATAGTAAACTCTGTAATTAGAGAAATACAGGGCATAAAAAGAATCCCCATGGTGTTGTGCCACTTTGTCAACCCAAGTTCATTCATTCTTACTAAAGTGTTTGGATATATAGAAAGTTCAGTAAAATGGCTGCAATATTAATTCTATCTCGTATACTCTCCAGCAGATAACTTAAAAGGAAGCATGATGTAGAAGGGAACCCAGTAATACATCTCCTCACGCAAGATACTCCTTCATTTAAGAATTATCTGGGTTACCTTTTATTGAAATACATGTGCCCCCCTGAAAGGCTGTGGAGGTCATTTCCTTCTTTATGTAGGTTATAATAAAATAATTATGTACACTATTATAATAAGAGATTTATCTTAAAGGAAAAAGGCAAAATCCTAGAACAGTAGCACAGACCTGGATTTGAAGGTATGTCAGCTAGACAAAGGGCCAAATGAGGACAATGGGTATCATTGTGAGCAGGAAAACGAAAAATAAAGAGGAAGAGAAGCATGATAAGTTAAAAATCAAGCTACTTTGTATAACTCTTAAGGTGATAATGAGAAACACACCACCACTCTAAATCATAGCCACATTTAAAAACAAAAATCAAGGCTAGTTTGGCTGTCCGCTAACTTTAGTTTCTCCCAATCAAGCACAGAAAAACTGGAGGAAACGAGTAAGATGGTAAAGGTAATGTACATCTTCTCATTTCTTCTCTTTCCATTTTGTTAGTTTATACTTGCAAATGCCTTTACTTTTGGGGACTTGATATACCATATAGTGTTTCCCAAAGTGAAGTAAAAAATGTTAAGTGGTAGTTAGATATGGTATTAAATAACTGCATCATACAGTAAGAAAGCTCTATGAAAGGAACGATCTCAGTAAGCCTTTGTTAATTCTTTAGCATTTGCTAAATTTTCCTTTTTAAAATAGAGAGCATGTCTGGTATCAGAGACTATTTTTTGCTTTTTTTTTTACATTACCAGGAAAGTCAAAATTATAGTGATGGAAAGTGTATCAGTGGTTGCCAGGTAGCATTAGGGAGATTTTTTTTTTTTTAGAGTTGTCACTGTGATTATACAAATATAAACATGTATTAAAATTCATAGAACTGTACACCAAAAGAAAAAAATATCAAATTTACTCTGTAATAATTAAATTATAAAAAATAAATAATTGCACAGTCTATGTATTTCACCTTCCTTTTCAAAATTAAATGATATATCCAAGAACTCTCCTTTATTCTTTTCCATTACTGCATAACTTTAAGTGTACAAACACACTGTGGGTTAAAAAATCCCCTGTAGATGGACATGCATTTTATTTTTACAATTTTTTATTTTACAAACAAAATGGGAATGATTACTCCTGATTATGCTTCTTTGTGTACATGGGCTATAGATTTCTAGGATAAATAAGTAAACATAATAAATAGTTGATTCAATTTTATAATTTCTATGATGGCAAATGATACTGGCTTTTCTGGTATGGTGGTAATTTGAAGTTTCCTCTTTAAATAAAAGCTTGAGAAAACCTAATTTTAAAAAAGTTAGTTAATCTAAAGAAAAACTTTAAGCAAACAACAGCACAGGTGGTTATAAGATTTAAAATTCTTCCTCACAAATGCAGAGGATCTACCAAGAAAAATTTCCTTCAGTTTTCAATCATGAAAACTATCTGACTTATTTGGTCAGATTACAAAAATTACATTATCACATGAGCTTTCTTTTAGATTATAATACATTCTAAAATAATATAGACAAAAGGCTCTAGAAAAAAATTACATCTTTAAAACCTATTTATTGTTATACAAGTGCTCTACATCTACAACTCTTGCTGGATGACAGCTTTAAGTAAATACTAGAACACATGAGCATGTACATCGTCTTTTTTTTCCTTTGTTTTGTTTTTGAGACAGTCTCACCGTCACCTGGACTATAGTGCAATGGCATCAAAATCAGCGTCATTGTAGCCCACTATAGCCTCCAACTTCTGGGCTCAAGCAATCCTCCTGCCTCAGCCTCCCAGGTAGCTGTGACTACAGGCGCATCTGGCTGGGTTTTATTTTTTCCAGACTGGGTCTCACTCTTGCTTAGGCTGGTCTCAAACTCCTGAGCTCAAGCAATCCTCCCAGCTTGGACTCCCACCCAGAGTACTAGGATTAAAGGCATGAGCCACCATGCTAGGTCCATGTATATAGTCCTGCCTTCTCATTCCTAGACTTTAATACAAAAGACTTAAGATTCTCTACTAATGATGTAGCCTCTATCAAGCCAACAGATGATAGCTTTCTGCCTTACTATGCCAAATAACCAAATAGTAGGATCAATTCTGGAAAACTTCTGCCTGGATTACAGACTTCAGATTCTTATATGAGAAGAAATGAAGAGATGCTTCCAGAACCATTTATACTATGGCTCCTGTACTCTATCTGCAGTCACCAACCCCCGGATCACAGAAAAATGGTCTTCCATGAAATTTGGGAGGTGAGCAGTGGGTGAGTGAGTGAAGCTTCACCACTCCCCATTGCTTACATCACTGCCTAAGCTCCCCTTCCATGGAAAAATTGTCTTCCATGAAACCCATCCCTGGTGCCAAAAGGTTGGGACTGCTGCTATATAGAAGGAGATCCATAGGGATAAATTTGCAGTTGCCAATATTAACACATAGAATAATAATGTTAGTAAGTGACTAAGTCTGAGTTACATGATTGCTTTCAGTCAAATATCTGAAACACTGAATATATTTCTACCTAGGAACCAACTTTCTATTAAGTCCATAATATAAGAGCAAGATTGCTAATGAATGCCAAATTCTTTTTTTTTTTTTTTTTTTTTTTGAGACAGAGTCTCGCTTTGTTGCCCAGGCTAGAGTGAGTGCCGTGGCGTCAGCCTAGCTCACAGCAACCTCAAACTCCTGGGCTTGAGTGATCCTTCTGCCTCAGCCTCCCGGGTAGCTGGGACTACAGGCATGCACCACCATGCCCGGCTAATTTTTTATATATATATCAGTTGGCCAATTAATTTCTTTCTATTTTATAGTAGAGACGGGGTCTCGCTCTTGCTCAGGCTGGTTTCGAACCCCTGACCTTGAGCAATCCGCCCGCCTCGGCCTCCCAAGAGCTAGGATTACAGGCGTGAGCCACAGCGCCCGGCCTAATGCCAAATTCTTAGTCCCCAGAAATAGTAAGATAGGGATAGGACACATATAGTTCTACTTGTTGAGATGAAGAAGATGAAAATCTCTTCCATGTAGTTTAGTCTTGTTCCAACTCCCACCTCAACAATTCAACTACACTATAAGACCATCTTTCTATAATTCAAGTCTCTGCAGAAAACCTTTTCAGTGGCTTATCACCATGTTTTTGTTTGTTTATTTGGTTTTTATTCTTGAAGTTCTTTCCCTCTCTCATCACTACTTTTAAAAGTAAGCAACTCGAACGAGGCGAGGGAGCTGGTCGGTGGCCGCGGCCGAGTGGACGCAGAGATGCAGATCTTTGTGAAGACCCTGACGGGGAAGACCATCACCCTTGAGGTCAAGCCCAGTGACACCATCAAGAATGTCAAAGCCAAAATCCAAGACAAGGAGGGCATCCCACCTGACCAGCAGCATCTGATATTTGCGGGCAAACAGCTGGAGGATGGCCGCACTCTTTCGGATTACAACATCCAGAAAGAGGCCACCCTGCACCTGGTGCTTCGTCTGCGAGGTGGCATCATTGACCCTTCCCTCCGCCAGCTCGCCCAGAAATACAACTGCAACAAGATGATCTGCCGCAAGTGTTATGCTCGCCTGCACTCCCCTGTGCTGTCAAATGCCGTAAGAAGTGCGGCCACACCAACAACCTGCGCCCCAAGAAGAAGGTCAAATAAGGCCCCTCCATGGGCTCCTCCTCCTTTCCCCACAGGGCAGCCTCCTGCCCAAGCCCCGTGGCCCTTATAAAGTTTCCCTTTAGTTGACTGAAGCAAAAAAAATAATAATAATAATAAAAATAAAAGTAAGCAACTCTGTGACACATCCCTCTTCACCTTTTTGCCCCTGGTTTCCTTTTTGGCCTCATCTCTCACCACTGCCTCTCACCTACACTATATCCAGGCACACCAAACTTCTTTAGGTTTCCTGAATATGTGATGCTTTTTTGTTCACTGCTAACATAGTTTCCACAGACTGCCTCTTCATTCATTTAACTCCTACTTATTCTTTAGGCCTCCAAACTTGGGTTGGTTCTCCTGTAGTGTCCTTTTACTTCTCCTAATATTCCATGTATTGTGTTATTAAAACTGCCCCATTAGTATTAAGTTATTAAGTATGAAATGTCTGATTTCCTTAAGTACTAAGTTTGACAGTTGATATCTCTGATATTTCACTTTGACATTTATTGACTTATTTTGGGAGAAGGTATGTCCTCAGTCTTTCAAACGCACATTTTGGCTTTTGATTGTCTTTCAAAAAAAATTTTTAGAGCAATTTTTGTGAAACTATGCATAAGTCAAAAATTCGTGTTATTTTCCAATATGAGTTATATCATGGAACCAAGGCAGTGCAGACAGCTCAAAATACGAATGAAATGTTTGGGAAGGATGTGGCTAATGAATGCACAATATGATGATGGTTTGAGAAGTTCCATTCTCGTGATTTTAACCTTGAAAATGAGTCACGTGGGTGACCAGAGACCAAGGTGGATAATTGTGAGCTGAAAGCTGTAGTGGAAGTGAATCCATCTCGACCTATGGGTGATTTAGCCGCAAGGTTTTGATGTTACATTACTATTCCAACAATACTGGACCACTGGAAACAATTTGGCAGGGCAAAGAAGCTGGACAGATGGGTTCCGCATGAATTAAATAAGTGTCATAAGAGAAATCATCTCCAAGCTTGCCTTTCTTTGCTGTCATAACATAAAGGTGAACCATTTCTATAGCATATTGTTACATGTGATGAAAAATGGATTGTTTCTGACAATTGCAAGCATTTGGCACAATGGTTGGATAAAGATGAAGTGCTAAAACACAGTCCAAAACAGAATATTTATCAAAAAATCCTAATGGTGTTTGTCTGGTAGTCCAGCACTGATACTATCCACTACAGCTTCATGAAACCTGGTCAAGTTGATTACAGTGGATGTCTACTGCAACCAACTGGAAGAAGTGATAAGGATACTAGTGATTAAGCAGCCAAGATTGCTCAAGAGAGATAGTCCAATCCTCTTGCAACAGAATGCTCCACCACATGTTGCACAAGCTGCTGCTCAAACTACAGAAGCTGGACGTGGAAACTCTGTCATCCACTGTATTCACCAGACCTTGCACCAACTGACAATCACTTCTTCCCACCTTTGGACCACTTCTTGCAAAGAAAAATACTGAAATTCTCAACAAGCTGTGGAAAAGGCCTTTTGCGATTTCCTCACCACTCACTCTCCAGTCTTCTTTGCTGCTGATATAAACAAGCTACTGTTAAGACAGCAAAATTGTGCCGACAGTTTAGGCGCATACTGTGATGAATCGTACTGCTTCTTGTTTGACATATAATAAATGACAGATTTGATTCAAAATCGGACATTCTGCATTGAATGGTCTAACGTTTCTCCCACTTGTATGTCAGTGCCTTAGAAAGAGGACCCAATTTTCTTGTTATGCACCCATGAACATTCCATAAACAGCTGTTAATGAATGAATCAATGATGCTCTTATGACCAGGCCAGATCTCACCTATCTCAATATGATCATAAAATTAGATAAATGGAAGATAAATTACCTGCTTTCAAATTTCTTAATGATATCTTTTTATCTCCTCTTATAAAAGGTTTAAGGCTTAGGGACACATTAAACTACAGAATCTCCTTCAGCCTTTGAATTATCACATCAAAAAACAAAATCAACTTCAAGACAGAATAATCTCAATTAGGTTATTCCTGCTAGTAATAGTAAACTTCCTCTCTGTATTTGGCCAAAAACATTTTTTTCTATTTCTCTCATCCCCTAAATGAAGATAAAAATTCTAAATATAACATACACAAAACAAATAATTCCAATGCAAATCATATGCAACAACAATCATTACCTAGAAATCCGCAGCATGTACAATCAACAAGAGATTGATTTATATAAGATAACCAAAGAGTTAAATACAATAAAATTTCATTTGATATAAAAGAAAATGCCTTTTGTATATGCTTGGTTAAAAAAAAAAAAATGACAAAAGAGAAATAAGTTAACAAGGGAAAAAAGGCAATAAGGTATATATATAAATAAATAGCAAAATATTACCTGCTCTGTCTTACTTAAAAAAAACCAAAACCTTTACTAAATATATGCACATTATTCATCCTTAGATTTCTTAGTTACAGAGCAAACACAAAAAAAAAAATTGTGAAAATTTTCCTAGTGTGTGATACACATTATTTTAAAAGTCATAAATCCAAATCCTCATAATGCTCTAAAATGTATCCTAAAAGTGAAATACAAACAACATATTTTCCTTGACGACTCTCTTAGAATATTCTAGGATATTTGTGAAATACAGCTGGGGATGAGGCAGACTGGGGTCGGGAGGAAAAGGAGATTTGAGCTTTGTTTGAGACAGTGTTAAAATTGAACTAAGGCTAATTTCTATGGGTATAAGCTCTATAAGAAGCTGTACTATTTTGTTCACTTTATTAGAATTCTATTGTAATGAAAAGAAATACATCCTAAGTCTTGACAGGCTGGAAAAGATTTTACTTTCTCTGTGAAGTTGAAAATTAAATTTCAATGTGCCAACCTTTGAAAGGAAAGTAGGGAAGTAATAACATGTCATCACTGGTTTCCTTTTCTAACACTGGATGCAGAGTATAACAGATATCACAAGGGGTCTCCACTAAGAAGCATATTCAAGTCTTAATGCAAAACACACTAGGGTTTCTTTACCAGTAAAAAGAAATCACTAAAAATAGTTACAGGGTCACTGTAAAGAAAAATCAACCTAAATGAAATGAGCTTTGTGAACAGTAGTTATGATCTTCACAAGCATGTTTTGTTGGTATATAATTCGTAAGTCTGAAGTACTATTTTTAATTGACGTAAGAAAAGAATTTGAAGAGTAATTTTTTCTAGGTAATCAAACAGAAAAATAAAGAGCTCCAACGGATTGCAAGTTAGCTATCCTCTATCTGAAATTAAATTTTCATATTTTGTATAAAAATCAAGATTTATTTTTCAAAAAAATTATACAGTATAAGTTATGTGAATAAGAAATACAGTAATTTAAGAAAAGCAAATACATCAAAGAGGTATACTACAGGGGCCCAAATTCCATTCAATGCAAAAGGCAATTATCTTCTCTACTTATCTCAGAATTCAATACTCTGTAACTCTATTTTTATAGGATCCAATACACAGGGTGTCCCGAAAGTCACCATACATAGGGAAAATGGGAAATTGTAGCTAAATGTATCTTTATTTACAAAATTCATTACACAATTTTATAAAATTTTTCCTTTGTATGGAGACTTTGTGACACCCTATAGAAATTGTAGCATAAGGATATATATAGTTTAAAGAAACATATTCTTATTTTACATTTTTTGTTTTTTGAGTCTCACTCCGTTGCCTGGGCTAGAGTGTCATAGCATCAGCCTAGCTCACAGCAACCTCAAACTCCTGGGCTCAGGCAATCCTCATGCTTCAGCTTCCCAAGTAGCTGAGACTACAGGCATGTGCCACCATGCCCAGCTAATTTTTTCTATTTTCAGTAGAGACAGTGTCTTGCTATTGCTCAGGTTGGTCTCCGACTCCTGAGCTCAAGGGATCCTCCTGCCTTGGCTTCCCAGAGTGCTAGGATTACAGGCATGAGCCACCGCACCCAGCCTTATTTTAATTTAAAACACTAAAAATTTGCAATGTTTTTAATCAAGGCTTTAATTTTAACATTCCAAATCACTACAGAATTTTTCATCTGAGAAAGAAACTAAATACCCCTGAGTAAAAAAATCACTCAAGGTTTTATAAATTTTCAATGATTAATTATAAGCTAACAGTCATCTCAAAACACAGAAATATAAGATAAAGAAATACAGGGCAAGATTCCCCCTAAAAAAACACATGGGCAATTTCAAAGCTTGATATATATTATAATAATTGATTTTTCAAAAACTACATGCTTATTGTAAGGGAACAGATAGCCAGAGCAGGGAATATAGGACATTCTGTTAGATGTTTCTCAAGGAGATACTTGCTCAATTAGACAATTAGATGTTCAGTTCAATTACGATACTGCACTATTCTTATATAATTACACTGGCTTCCTAGGTTATCAATCTGAAAGATTTTGAGGGGCCACAGGGTTGGGAACAAATACAAATCATTCTGTTCTCTGCAACAGAAAAAATGTCATACCATCAAAGAAAACATACCTTTACATTTTCCTACCTTAATAACAGAGTAGTATGAACCTATAGCTTTTATTTTTTTTTTTATCTCTACCAACTAGATTAAAAAAAATCTCTTCCCTCATCTATTATTCTCACCACTTGGCAGTAATCCATTAGTTTTTAAAATAATAATGACAACATATTAAGCCAACAAAGTTAGGATTATCTGATAAATTGATTTTTCCCTCGAAGGTAAAGATTGACAAAAATTATTCTTCCAGTAAACAATTCTCTGCCATCCTTTCACCTATACTGTTTCTTAAGTTGTAGATTCTTAAAAAAATAAGTGAGAACAAGCAAAGCAAATATAGCACAAAGATGGTAAAGAACATTAATTGACTCAAAAGGCTACTGACAAAGGAATAAACTTTCACTGGCAGCATAAATGCCTTAAAAATCAGAATTAGGTCATCTTTAAGGAAAGTGACGGCCACTGAAGAGATTCTGCCAAGAGAAAAGGTTTTCTAGACTATTTTTTTAAAGTTTTGATAACAGTTTCTGAATCTACTAAGTTATGAAAAAACTAAAAATAATTTTAAAACATTCAAC